TAAAATATTAATAAGAAATTAAAAAAATTATTTAGAAAAATAATTTGCTTAGATAATTTATTTTAACTATATAATTTAATAACAAAAATGATGTATGAATATTTACTGTTTTTGAATAATGTTTTATTGATTTTTGAATAATGTTTTATTAATATATTATATATTTTTTTTACTTCCAATTTTAAATTTAAAATTACTTAAACTAGAGAACTATTTTAGAATTATTGTATATTTTTGTACATTTTTTCAAAATATTAATTTTATTTATTTTTTAAGATTTTTATCAAAAATTATTTTATTTCACGTTTAGCCTTTAATTAAATAAAAAAATGAAACAATTATAGAAAATAAAAAAAAATTAAATTAATAAGTTACAATTAAGATAAGAAAATAAATTAAAAAAAACATAGATTTTAAATTATTTATTGTCTCTTAATTAAATAAATTAGAGGTACTATAGCTGTATACTTTACGAGTTGTATATTTTATGATTTGAAACATTATTAATGAATTTTACTTTTTGATTTTACGAACGCCAATATTTATTGGCGTATATATTTTATCAAAATTCTTAGGTTATGAATTATACTTCTTAAAAGAAATTTTAAGAAATTTTAATTAACATTAAAGATTTATGTATATTGAACAATGTCTTCATTCCAACTAATGTAAAAAAATTGATGAAAATATAATAATAATAATAATAATAATAATAATAATAGTTTGATTGCAATAAGCCAGCTAATTTATTGATAAGTAATATTTAATTTCTATAAGTAAAGTATAGTGTACCTATTTGGTTCCAACGAGATCCATATACGGGTTACATACAATATACGCGTGTAATTCACCATTCCGTGAGATTCCAGCGTAAAGTTATTAAGCTGGCACGAGCGGCCGTGTCCAATATCAAAAGTGATAGAATTTAATTTAAAAAATAGGTTTGTCGGTGGCACCGTCGCATAGAGCGTACAATTTTTTATATTTTTAATTTTCACTGGAGTCGTTTCTATCTGTCACTGACATATCCCATCTCTTTTCGGAACAAACGAAGAGCGAGAAAAAGAGAAAGAGAAAGAGAGAAGGGGAGGGGTACAGATCGGGAGCTATCCTGTCGATGTATGATCTGGCCGTTGATATATGGTGGTAACGTGAGCAAAAATGCGAGGCCGATTGAATTACATTGAGTTACGTGTCGTTACGCAACGTACCTACGGACAGAGAGAAGCCTCGATAAATTTATAGTACGACCTTTTGGTTACGTTTGATTTTGAAAAATCGTCGCCGTTCGAAATTACGATCTCACCCACGCCCTGCGCGTTTTGGCACGTGCGCATCGACTATATTTATTTGTCCCACGTGTTCTTTCAGAGAACATTTCATGCATCTCTTTCTCTCTGTCTCTCTATCTCTCTCTCTCTCTCTCTTATTCCTCTCGTTCACATTGCCTCTATTGCCACCTATTTCTCGGTTTCTCGATCACCGATCTCTTTTTCTCTCTTCTTCTCTCTCTGCTTTCTTCGTCAATTCGGCGTTCCCGATTTCGGATGCCTCCGCTTTCCGGCAAAATATGCGGGCCGAAGAAACGACGCTTTATAATATCACGACTGACACTTATCGTTATGCATTTTCTTAAGTGATAAATCTCGAACGAGCTGCGGAAATGTTCAAAATTTCGGGGAAAGCGCGGTCGTCGCGACGCGAATTTTCGATATATAATAGCTTACAACCGGGCCATGCGTTGATCTATATCTATTCGTAATCGTGTAAGTTACATGCACGTGAGATGTATGGTGCTAATGTATGGTTTAATCTGTCAAATTTTATTATTAAAAAATTATAATTTTTTTAATAATAGATAAAATATAATTAAGAAACAAATAGGATATGTAATATATTACTTGCAAGTTATTATTTTAATATAAGATAACTTTTTACTATTTATTTTCTTATTTGTTATTTTTTAATTATTGTTAGATTTATCGTAGAGATTAATGACAAAAATAAATAATTAAATAGCAAGAATATTTACTATGACGTTAAAGATTCTAAAAGATTCTTTAAAACAAACAATTAAAAGTTGATATAAACAAATTTCAATTGAGATTTATTTATTAGACAAGCAATTGAAGTTTACATTAGATGAAATAGAACGAAAGAATAGATAGAGCGAAAAAGCTTTATCTTCGTTACACTTTATTTCGTTCTGTCTCCATTCTATTATCTTTATTCCACATCAGTGCAAAGTTAAATTGCTTACAAGTTAATAAATAAATTTCAATTAATATTTTTTTATATCAATTTTTATATTTAATTTGTTCTCTAAAATCAATATAAACGTTTTATGAATATTAATATTCTGCATGTCACGAATATGATCGTTACGGTCAAATAAATCAAAGAATTGATGGAATATGAAAAATTTTTGAGAGCAAATTATCACTGATAGATAAGAATAATAATATAATTGTGAAATTGCGAATTTAATTACGTAACTGATTTCAGAAATATATAAAATAATATGAAATATAAAATAATAATATGATTATAAAACAAAAAATTATGATGTCTAATTAAAAAAAATCTCTCTATTTATATTTTTATTTTTGTCTTAATTTTATTAAAATTATTTCGATAATTGCATGAATTTCAAAAACATCAAAATTTTTTTACACTATCGAAACATTTTCTCAATTTAAATAAATATTTCCTCGTAAACTTTTAGCATATTACAAACAACCTAACAAGTAACTAAACAAGTAAACCTAACCATTTTCTCAGCCATGCAATTACCAAGCGATAAGAACAAAGACTGCTCACCGTCCAAAGTCGATTGAAAGAAAACCAAATAACAAAGAAAAGAGAACAGACTTCTGCACCGTTCGCCAAAAATCATTTCCTTCAAGCTTTAAGTTCACCATGCTTTCGATACTATTGCCTGCTTAAAAGACATCTATTAATTTGACCGGTCATACAGATCAATGTGTACCCAATTTGAGAAACTAAACCAATCGGTTGTTCGAGTAACGACTATTATCTCGATCCATCCCCGAACTTACATATCGTCCGATGCCCGTTCAGGCAAGGACAGTGTTCGACCGGGGAAAGAAGAGGGAAAGCGCGATATCTCGGCAATTCGAGATAGAAGGACGCATGTGTGCGCGCTGCGAAGGAAAGGGAAGAGAGTAAAGAAAGACGCGAAGGGTTAGCCGGTCTCTTTAGATCGGATATGTGGATATCGTTGTGTTTGTGTGCGCATATAGTGGTAGTGGTGCCGGATGAATAGGTAGGAAGATATTGGTGGGAGGAGTTGGCCACGTGGCGCCGCGGCGCGCCGTTCCGGCGCCGATGTCCCGCACACCCTGCGAGCTCAGTTTCACTTCAACCCCCATGCGGCCCAACTAGACGACGGACGGCTTTCGTCTCCAGGATTTGGCCTCGCCGCGAGACCAGCCTCTGCGTTTCGCGCCGATTGTATCGACCTCGTTTCCTCTATTGCCTCTCGCGCTAACTTCCCTAGCACGACTTTCGACCTATACTCGGCCTGCGACGACCGAATTTTGATGGACGACGATGTTACGTCGAACATTGGAGGATCGTAGAGCTTTCCCTCTTTTTCGACCTTTTTATTTTTTTGTCGCTCTTTTTTTATTTCTTTTGGGGATGGCGTAATGGGTATAACTAGTCGGCTGATATAACATATAGAATAGATTAGATGTTTCGCAATGACGCTTGGCGAAATGGCGGATCTAAAGGAGGGCAAGGAGGGATGAGGTCATTTTTATCTATGTTACATTCTAAAAAATTTCTTGACCATGTATTATTGTACTATCAATATATACTTGTTCATTTGCTTAGCAGGTGTTATTGAACGTTATGATGTAAAGTTAAATAAAGATTGTATTATAGAATTGTAAAAATTCACAAATATAGAAGAGATTTTATGTTGTAAATTAAGATTATTTTTAATGCAATATCTTAATCTTAATATATTCAATTTGTAATATTTGTTTTTTTTATTTTATATAAAACAAATTATTTAATTATATGAACTATAATTTCATATATTTCATATATTTTTTTAATTTTGTATAATAATGTGTAATATGTGTAATATATATGTATAAATAATTAATTTAATTATTTAATCTAATATTAGATATATTAAAATATAAATTATAAAAAAATTTTAAATTGTATAAAAAAAAATTGAAAAGTTTTATACACCACTTTCTTTTCCTTTTTTCAAAGCAAAATTTTTAGATTCTTAATTAGATTTAGTTTGATTCAATGAATTATTTTTAAACATAATAATGTGACATTAAAATTAATAGGATTGAAGTAGAATGTACATATTTGAGATTGATAGTACATATTTGTAATTTGATAAGATTAAATATATGTATATATAATAATATATATAATATATAATATATAATAGTATATTTATATATAATATATAATATATAATATGTAATTTAAAAAAAAAATATATATAACAGGTCTTTAATTTTATTTTCAAATATAGATTTTTCAAGATCACTTCGAAGTAAAAGATTAATAAATATTTCTATTCTGATCTAATAATATTACTGAATATAAATGAGAATAGAAAGATTTAACAATCAAATTTAACTTGGAATGAAATTAGAAGAAATAT